ACTTTCCAGTTGCTTTCCCCTCCCGCAAACATCAATTTGAACTATACATGCTGGCAAACAACTCCACAGGGGCTCAGGAATCCAGGTGAGAGCTTACAGAAACTGGCTATAGCAGAGAAATAAGAATCATTGAAAGGTTAATACGTACAGTTTCACCTTACTTGTATCATCCCTCATCAACTCCAGGTGAGATAATTAGGCATCATCATGGGACACTGGGGGAAGAAGGCTGAGAGACAACAGAATAAACTCCTGGGTACAAAAACTATTAATGTTTGTAGAATGGCATGTTCAGCAGACACAGATTAAAAAACCACAGAATAATGTTGGAAATAAACCAAGAAATTCTTGCCAAATAAAAACCCTCTAGCTTCACTTGCTCTGTTTCAACTTATAACACTAATTAGAAGTCACCCCGCTAGGCAATACATTATTAGCTTCCCACTAGATTTGCTATGGTTAACACCTGTGATGTGGGGGTTATGATAACAGTTGCCTGGGTTACTTCCCAGGGACATGAAAACAATTTTTGCTAAAAACACTGACTTTTTACTAGAGTTTATAGAAATGTGACTGGTGACTAAAAAGTAATAAAAGGCTTAGCATCTCTATCTCTGTTCAGTCTAAGGCTGCTGGCAACACAGGGTTAACCTGGCCTGTTGCTCACTAGAGATGTGCAATTTCTTTTTCTTTCCTTCTCCTTCTCCCCTTTTTTCAGCCCTAAACCATGTGCTTCTTCAGAAGCCATGAAGGCTCAAGCACTTTAAGACCTTCAGCCCTATCACAGGGCCCAGACCTACTGGCACAACATGACAGGGCCAGATACATGAAAACTCAACATCCTCTAGGATGATTATGACCATGTAGTGGTCCAATTTCATCTTAAGAAACATCTTTTGGAAACATGCCCCTGGACAATGGGAATTACTGGATTTTAGCCTACCCTAGCAAGTTACTAAAAACCTGCTGATTATGTGACCAGCAGCTTGCACACTATCTTGACCAGCTGCTGACTTCTTTTAACTAAAATCCAATTCAGCTGAAGCCTCCCCACTACTGCCATTCTTCATTTAAGCTTTGCCTATGTAGGAGCTTGTGTGTGTGTGTTTGTGTGTGTGTGTGTGTACACGCGCACTTGTAATACCTGACTCAGTCTTATGTCTACTCTCTCTAGGTCAAAAGATCTCCAATATTACCAGCGGCACAGTACAGAAATCCTCTGTATAGAAGGAGAGTAAACTGAGCTGTAACTTGGAAACTCAGCTGTAACTGAGCTGTAACCTGAGGGTAAACCTGGCTGTGAACCCCAATACCAAGCCTAGGATAATGAAGCTCAAAAACAAGCAGGCCTCACAGTGCCACAGAGCTGAACTTAAAGACCCAGTCTCTATGCCTGCCCTGCCCCACCAGCCAGAACCAGACACATGTTCCAGATTGACCCTATAGCCCCAGACTCCAGGTCTGTACTAATGTCATACTAGGCCACACAGCCACAAGCTATGGGTTAGCCTGGGGCTAAACTATCCTCTGTGGCCCAAGACATCAGGTTCTCCCTAGTACCAGGCCATTTTAGCCTCAGAGCCCAGACTAGCCTGGGTCAGCCTGGTACCTACAGACCCAGGCTCTAGATTGGCTGCCACAAATACCAGTCCCTTCTTCCCTAGGATCCCATGGTTCCATGTACTATAGGAATCTGAGTCCAGGTCACTCTAACAGATCTAAGCATCAGGCAAACCCTAGCAGTCCCTGATGCCCAGCAGTCTCCATGCACTCAGATTCTAAGGCTGCCCTCAACACCCAGCCCTCTTGCTCACCTCCAGCTTCAGGCTGGTTCCCATGGCCCCAGGTACTATACTGACAGCCAAAAGCCCAGGGTCCAGGCCAGCTACAATGGAATCTAGTCCTCAGGCCAGCACTCAAAGACCCAGACTCAGAGACAGCCCCTGTAGCCAAGGCACCAGCCTAGCATCCAGTCTAGGTTCTAGACTGACCTTCAAAGACTATGGCTTCAAAGCCCCTCTTGAACAGGCTAGTCCCAAACTCCAGTGGACCCAATATTCGCCACACACCAATACTTCCTGGTGCCAGGCAGATTCCTACAGACTCGGGCTCCAAGAATTGATTAGATCTGGCACTGCAAGCTCAAGCTCTGGTCCTGCTCCAGCACCTTGTCAACCCCACCCAATGGACTCAGGCATTAGGCCTGATCCTGTTGACCCAGATGATAAGACCATCAAAACCAACACATACTTGCTCTGCTTAAATGATCACTGTGCTCTATAATTTCAAAACAGTGTTAATAATAGTAATTTTTCTTTTTTTGGTATTCAGAATCAAATTCAGGATCTTACTTTTGCCAGACAGGAACTATGCAACTGAGTTATATCCCTGGCAACAATGTTAATAATATTCCTCCTCAGAAAAATCCTTTCTTGGTCTAATTTCTGAATAAGTTATGATATTGCTGTTGATAAAAAATATTTTTATTACATAAGTAAGGTGCAAATTAGTGTATTTTCTCCAATAAGTGTTGGGAGCCGGTGAAGCTACAAATTTATCACACATGCAAGGCTGGAATGTGACAATCCCAAGAACAAAAAGAACCTGGGGCAAGCCATATGAAGCTACTTCACCCCAGAAAACACCTAGTCCCAAGACAATCTGAACAGTGGTTTGCTAGGACAACAGGGTGTCATATAACATTACCTTGCTAAAAGGTATACATAAAGGCCCCTGCAGCTAGAGGCCAGTTCCTCTCCTCCCATCAGGAGGAAAAGCACTCCATCTGACCCCAGCTTTTGTCTCTTCTGTATTTTCTCATCCTCTCAGCATCCTTCCAGCTTGGAACATCTAGAGCTACAGCTGTTTGCCACAAATAAGCATTGCACTGTAAACAGAGGTAAATTTAGGGAATTCTCAGTTAATAAATAGTACCGGGCACAAACAGGCCAAGGAAAAGCAGTTCCTTCAAAAAGTGGTTTACAATCATTCAAGCTATGTTTGGGTGCAAGTTCGTCTCCAATCCTCCCTAGCTTTAAAGTATAGTTTCAAAATAAACAATGACAGGACAGTGAATATCTCTACTTTGTGGAGTAGGACTCCACATACTTCCTTTATTAATTTCCTACTACAGCCATACTACAAATTCAGTGGTTTAAAGTTTAAAAGCAGCTGCAGTTTTCTCTTGTACAAATGCAAAAATCTGTCTATGCATTCTTCCTGCCTCCGGATGTCATTAGTAACTGGGATAATACCAGAAACTGAATAAACCATAGATGTTTATGTATCTTCCAAACAATTCAGAGAAAGTCAAATCTCAGCTTTCCCAGCCTCTGACTGCAACACTATCACTTACTAATAATCCCTTTCCTCCATTTTCCAGTAGCATATACTCTCAGCAGCAGCATACTGAGTCCATCTTCCTAGCAAGTCTATTAAACACAGCTTAGTTTTTCTCTATGGTGTACCTGAAAATTTCCCCAACTTTCTTCCATCCACTTCCTGATTCCAAGGCCAGCTCCCATATTTTAGATATTTGTTACTTGCAGCACTGCAGTTCCAGTACCAAACTAGGCTTTCAGTGCTCTCATATCAAATTACCATATAATCAGTGGCTTTGAACAACACTCATTTATCTCATAACCCTGTGGGTCAGGAGCTACGACCTAGTTGCTCCTCTGCTCAGGGCCTCACAGGGCTGAAATCAGTGTCAATCTCATCTAAGACTCAATGAATTCTCTATGAATTCAATGGCTGCTGGCAGAATTCAGTTGTTTGCAATGAAGAAGTCAAATCCCATTCTTTTTTGGCTGGATGCCAACCAGGGAACAATCTCAGCAACTTGGTGGAGGTACATGTGTGAGTCCTTGCCATATGCCCACCTCCTCCCACAACACGGCTGTTTATTTCCATAAGGCCAACTTATTCTTATTGTGCTGATTGTGTCTTTTACGGACTCACCTGCTTAGGTCACTCTGCCCAGGATCATCTCCCTTTTAAGTAACTCAGGTTCAAACAATCTACTACATTTCACAGGACGAAATCCCTTCATACTGTCAAGACTAGTCCACAGTGAATGGCGAGAAATGATACAGGCTTGCATGTCAAGGGAATATTGTGGCCATTGTCAGACTTGCTTATGGCATTAGAATACCATTATGCACACTCCTGTCCCACTACCCACTTCTTGGACAGATGTGTCTTTACAGTGGTCTTTCAACTTCATGTCTCATGTTCTTTGTTAAAACTAATCAGAGGGAAGTCATTAAGTCTGTTATCCTGCTGGAGTACAACCTGTAAAAGGCTATTGGAAGCACAATTTTGTGGCAAATAAATCTTTGTTCTTCCTCACCTTGAAACAGTGTGTATGGATAGACATGTTCATGGGTACTTAAAAGTATTAAGGAGTAGAGAAAATTAACAAAAGAAGTTCTTAAAAACAAAGTCTACCTAGTATGAAGTACTTGACATTCTTCTAACTCCTCAGAAACATACCTTTTTTAAAAATAAAATTTCTAACAAATGTGTTAAATACTTTTAAGAATTTGCCAAAGACGACTCACAGAGAAAGCTGTTTTGAACACAATGTGTCTCCAGTTTAGCTCTTACCTAGAATATAATTCAAATGCTTTTAAGTTTGTTTTTCTCCTATGTCCACTGAAGAAAAAAAAAAAGTCCTATTCCCCATTTCTTTGCTCCAGGAAATCTTTTCTTAAATGATCATCTTGTGTTTCGACTTGTAAGAGTACTAACTGTATATAGTAGAAACATTGTGCTTTCCTCTAATTTTGGAAGTCAAGTCCAGTATGTCCACGGGGATCCATGCAAACCTTTATATACATATAAAGGTATGAGAAGCATGCAGTCTGAAAAGCCAGATGAGGAAACACTCTCCCCACATATAAAACACATGCTTATTTTTGGACTCTGACATTTTAAAATGTTGTGGTACCATAAAAATATATATGTTATCATCCACAGCAATATAAAAGGGAAACCACTGGAAGACTTTATATTTTATTTATTATTTTCTAGCTTTGAGAGAACAACTTCGTTATCAAAATAGAAGTACTGAAATAGGTCCAGGTCTTGCTCTTTCTACCATGAGGAGGGCTGCTTTCACTATTCTGACTGGTTCAGGCTACTACTGTTCTCATAGAGTACTTTTCAGGTCTTTTTCAGATATAGGAAAAGAAATTAGAAAGCTGTAATCACTCTAAGGGTGAAAATCAATTCCTATATAAGAACTTCTAATCCTAGGATCAAGTACAACTTGACAAGTTGAGAGAACTTCACTATAGCAAATAGTAAGAAGAATTAAGAAACATGAAGCAATCGTTTTACATGACATGGTAGAAACATTATATACCTGAAAAAAATTTGAAGTGTCTAATAATTGTAAATGTTTTAGAAGTCACAGATATAGATAATCATAAGAGCCAAGAGAAATTTATTTACAAAACTTCTTCCTTGGCCAGCAGTTGTTAAGTCAAGAAATCACAAATCAAGAAAACAATTAACTAGGACCTGACTAGTAGTCTTTAAGTCAGTTCACACAAGGGAATAACCAGAGCAGCTCCTCATTATTAGGCTAGATAGATTTCCTAATAGTGTCTTTCAACTGACAGTGATATACATTTAGCCAAAGGGGTCCGTGCAAGTAGCACCATGGCACTTACAGCCTCATTTGAGTCTCAGTCTCCAGAGTTCTATTCACTGTCTACCTTACACAGATGCTTCACAGCTTTGGTTGACATGTCATCTTTGTCTTTTTCTCTTCCTTTGTCAGTTTTATTTTTCTTCTTCTCTGGTGACTCCTTCTTCTCCTCTACTCTGTGCTCTTTTCTCTACTTTGTCTTCTTCTTCACTGTCGGCTCCTTTCTTTCCTTCCTCCTCACCTCCAGTTTTCACTCCTTCTTTGTCATGATCACGGATATAAACTGCTTTGTTATAACCTTCTCGGTTCCTAGCAATTTCAATGGCAAAAAACTGTATCCTGGGGGCTGGAAAGTGAACATAATTGATTATAGTATTACTCCAGTAATTTCCTAAACCTACCAGAAATGTATAAACAAGCTGCACTAATATGCAAACCATTCAAATATAATCACATAAGCCTCAGAATGTGAATTCTAATCTCACATTAATGATAATGAAAATATCTATCATATAGGTACTTTTGAGGAACAAGATCTTTAAAGATACTAATAGCCAATCTAACTATGCATTTCACTAATTCCTCAGTAAAATCATAAGCCTCACTCACTGTCCATATACACAATCAACTTCAGAGGCAAGAAACTCACCAAAGATAGTATTTTCCTCTGTGTAGCCCTGAGAACAATCTAGTCGCAGTAAAGTACCATAGTTGTAGTCTTCTACAATCCCACCAAACTTCAAGCAGAATGGTCTCCATTTCTACAAAGGCAAAATATATATATATATAGTTCAGCTGACAAATATAACAAGCTGAGGTTCTCAGACCAGAAGAGGGTCTTTCATTTCCCCAGTAAGAAAAATAATCATCACTGAGGTACTGAGGTAACAGCTAATTTCTCACTGAAACTAGTATGAAGTTTCTATGCTATATTTAATCTGAAAAAAAGGATACAAATCTTTTACAACAGAATCAAAATTTCAAAACCAGATTTTGTCTGTTTTGTTTCAATGTTTCAGGCCAAACTGGTTGTACATCCTCACTAAAGCATAAATCAGACAAAGAAAACAAGAATTTTGCATGAACTCATGAAGTTAGATCTTAAAGGCCATTCAGTACCAGCAGTTTACCAAAGATCAGTAACAGCTTGCTAGGAGACAAAAACTGATATCCTTTTTTAGCCAAGGGCCCACTTTCAGAGAAATAAATTTCCCTGACTATTAAGATTATCAGCTCTTTGCAATATTATAATATCATCACATAAACAATGAGAAACACAAGCTTCCCAGTGATCCTTGGCAAGACTGATCTCGTGAACTTAAACCCGAAGAAACAAACTACCTTCTTATGTGCTGGCTACCATTCCCCAAATATAAGCTTTCTGAATTAATTATCTATGTAAATAAATGGATTCCTCCTCCCCTTTTGAAAAGGCAGTGTGAGTCAGGATTCAAAGTGTCCAAGTCCAAAGGAAAAAATTAGACTGAATAACATAAAACATCCATAAAACCAGAAATGATTCATTTCATAAAATATTTGATTATAACTATAAAAAGGCCTGGTTATTTATATATTTTCCTTAAAACACTTTTCAAAAGAGTATTAAAACATACAATCAAAAATTAATGATCAGATGCCAGATAATGTTTGAGAGTATTCTTACTTCTTTAGCCAATTCTGACTTGAGTTCTTCTGGGTCCAAAACATCTATCTTGAGTTTCTCAAAATGCTCCCTGAATTCAGAGTAGATTTGATCATCCACTTTGGTGAGTTTCAGGAATTGTGGGTCAACTGATGAAATCAGCTGCCAAAGAGAAAAATCCCACATTGATGCTTGCCTTTTCTTTTCTACACTTCTACTCCTCACTCCCACTCACCAAAATCCCCTATGGTTCTCAAGGCTGAAGATTTCATTAGGACCTATTAACTGTCTATGCCTTGCATGAAATCATGACAAAGTTTTAAAAGGCTATATAATACATTACAATCCCTTCCACCAATTTGGGAATCAGATCAATTGGCCCTAGAACCAATAGCTGGGCTATTCCTCTCTATGGGTTGTTCCTTAAGTCAACAAACATTTATCAACTATCTATTATTTATACCTAGGCACTCTTTTTCCAGATAGCCATAAACACTGGGCAGAGAAATACAACTCTTTACTGTCAAAACAAATTCACTTCTAACCCCAAACTCAGCAAATATGATTTATAGAAACTAAAACTACCTCCAAAACATATATTGGAGCATGTTCAACTTGCTGACAACAGTTCTTATCAGAGCACCATACATTACAATCATATTTTCAATTCTGTTTAATGATGAAGACAAACAACTCACCTTGTAATACACTTCAGCATGCTGCATTGCTCTCATAGCCCAGGCCATCTCAATATCTGGCTGCAAAGGAGTGAGGAATACCAGGTCAGTAATCCCTCAATACTGCTACTGGGTAACAAACTAAGAAGTCTGTGGATGTCTAGTTAATGATCAAAAGTATTGCCAACATTGCTTTTACTGTCAAATGACAAAAACTGGACTAACAGACTTGGATAATATAGTAATTGTTTTTTCCTTAAGACAATCAAAAGAATATATTTACACAAACTAATAAATGTAATGAACCACTGGCTATCTTTCCCCAGTAACTAATCAAAGTGTGGGAGACTACATAAGGCAGCAGATAAATTGGCTTCTCAGAACTAAGTTAAATCATTGTAATAGTTAAGTAATATATCCACTTATACCACTTAGTTGTCAGAAGCACAAAGATAATGAAAAAGTTTTCACTTCTGTATGTAGACTGTTACAATTACTCAACTTCCCACCCTGTAACATCTAGAAATTAATCAGTCTCACAAAGCAGGCCTCCTTACAAGTAAGTCTTACCAAACCATCTACCACTTCTTTCAACTGGAATTTCCCACTACAACAGATAGATGGATCTACTTCACAGACTCCAGAAAAAGTTATTTGAATGTGTACCTCTATGCCTAGACCATGCACAAACTTCACCTACCTAACAATCCATGTCCTTTTTCCACTTACACTTTGAGCATCCAGTTCAACCTCCACTTCCTCAGTAAAGTCTAAGACTGCCTCCATCCTTAAAGGATCTTATGCCCTGACCCACTGATCAAGTACACATTACATTCTTATTTGACTGCTGCCACTATTCTCACCATCCTTTTTTTTCTCAAAAATACATCATATGCTTTCCCCATAAATGGATAAACCAGGGGCACTACAAATGGTAGCTGCACAACAGAATCATTCCGGAAACTTTAAAAAATACTGATTCTCGACTCCTATCTCCCAGACATTTTGATCTAAACATAAACATTCTCACATAAAGTGTAACCCTAACAGGCTTTAAAGTCTCCCCTTTGATTCTAAAGTGCAGCAAAGTTAGAAAACTATTTCCATGTTCACACTGATTAATCCTGCATTTGTCAATCAAGATCAATATGAACTGAAAGGAGGCACAGATCTAGGCGGATGTGCACGGCGTCTGCAGAACAAATCAGAGAAGGGACGAATAATTTAATAATAGGCCTTACAAAGCTCTCGGGTTAGCTCTGTGGTTGGGAGCTGTGGGTAAATCATACTCACATCGTTGCCGTAAGACTCCGCTGGGAGAGAAAGAGCATGTGCGACGGACACAACCTCCCCGGAAACCTGAGAAGAGGAAAAACAAGGGAACGGGGTGAAAATTCAAGGGTCTATATCCGCTCGACTTTTCTACTCGCCCAACTCCAGAGCAGCGCCTCACCGCTTCATCCATTCCACTCGTATCCTCCATGTTGCAGCCAAGAAAGTGTGACTTCACCTTCCCGGAGAGTCCCTCCCTTCTCCCTCAACTCCACTCCCCTCCCCCCTCCCCGCGTGGTCCTTCAGCCGTTGAACGAAACTGCAGAGGCTGGAGAGGGATGGAAGATGAGCGAGTCTCACTCCTCTGCGCCTGCGCTGTGCCCTCTACCCCGGAGGTCGTCGCTAGCCCCGCCTCACACCCTCCCAGTTTGGGCGTGGACTTCGAAGGCTGTTGGGGAATCTGGGTTTACCAACGGACTGTAAGGTACTGGTCTGCTCAGTAAATTTTCGTGGTGATGATGGGAAAAACCTGAATTAAAATAGTGCGTCTTGGGGCTGGAGATTTAGCTCAGCGGCATAAGCGCCTGCCTTACAAGCAGGCAGTCATGAGGTCGATCCCTGGTACCAATAAAAAAAAAAAAACGAAAAAGACCAAAAAAAAAAAAAATAGTGCGTCTTTTGTGCCCCCACTCGGTGGGCTTTGTGGCCAGCAGACACTCAGATTCATACTGTGCATTCATGCATATTTACACACACACACACACACACACACACACTCACACTGCAATACCCCAAAAGTGGGAAATAAATCTCAAACAAGCGTGGTGCTAGGGGGTGGAATGCAGAGATGTAGAATGCAATTCCTACTTTGAAAGAACTAGGTGCAATGAGGAAGTAAAGTGACTATCACAGCATAGAATCATACACTATAAAGCATGAATGGAGTTAGCTAAGCATAGTGGCTAGCACACTTCTGTAATCCCAGCACTGGAGAGGCTAAAGCAGGAAGGTCATTGTAAATTCAAGATCAGCCTGAGCTACAAAGTGAGTTCAATACCAGCCTGAACTGCATAGTGAGACCCTATGTCAGAAAAACAAAAAATGAACAGAGCATGAATGATGGATAACAACATATGCACAGGTACATTACTGATGAAATTAAGAACTGTGACACCCTGCTGGCTATGGCAAAAACAAGATAGCTGAAGCAAGATTGTAGTCAAGGATTTTGTATGGTGGCTATTAAGAGGCTGAGCACTTAAAAGCAGTGCTAAGCAACCTAAGTAAGGTCTTTAAATGGGCCTGTCTCATTTGCACACCTAAATTTTAAAATCACTTCTAACATAATGTGTAAAATTGAGGAAGACAAAACTGAAGACAGACCAACTTGATAGCAGGTGATAAAACTGAAGTTCTTAACAAGGTGAAATGAATTTTGAGAATGCGCTTGGAATGATTAGGACTTTTGGCTAATTAGAGCTGGCAGATAAAGGAAAGTTGGGATTCTAGTTTGACACCCAAGTTCAAAAATATGATTTGAGATCAAAAGTCATTTAGTGTAAAATACAGGAGGAGGAGGAATGAGTTTAAATTGAAGAGCTGAATTTGAAAAATGAATGGGGCATTCAATTCACAAGATGGAGGGAGACCTGAACACAGATACAAATTTTGAGAGCTGGCACTGCAGGTTTAGTTGTGCTTTCTCAATGAAACTAAAAAGAACTGTGAAGACACAAAGCAGCAGGGCGAGAATAGAACCATTTATGAACAAGAAAAGGGAGGGGAAAAAACAAACTAAAAGGAGTAAGAGTTAAGTTGTCAGTGAGACATCAGCAGAAGACAAGGCAGAGACTCACACATTCCAAAGGATAAAGGAATTTCCAGGGAGAAGATCCTAATACCATGAATACACTAAGCCCAAAATTATTGAGAGATCACTTACACACTTGACAAGAAAAGTTTTAGTGGAATGATGAGGACAGCAATCAGATGGCAGTGGGATTAAGAGATCATAAATGATAAGGAATCTATGATAGTCACCACAGAATGTTCTTCTAAAGAGTTGAAGCTAGAGAGAGACATTAGATGTAGGGGCATTTTCATTGTGTTAAAGAACAGATAACAAAAAAAATTTGCCATCTTAGCTAGTTTAAATGAATGATGCAGTATTGTTTCTTAATCATATTCACTTTTTTGTCTTGCAAAACTGAAACTCTCTGCTCATTAAATTATAATTCCTCAATTTCCCTCCCTCCCAACCTATGTGTCATGGTTTATGTCTGTGTCCCCCAGGCCTCATGAGTTTGAATTGTGCATGTTATTCATTCATGGTCTAGTGCTTGGATTGATGGTGTCAGTGCTCCACCCACAAAGGGGTGGAGCCAGAATGTGACGTAATGGCAGGAAGAAAGTGTGTCTTGCTTTTTGCTGGTTCCTGTTTGCTATTTGCAGCTGCCATGAACTGCGGCCCAGCCATGCCCGCCTGCCTTGGAGCCCACTGAGTGTGGACTGAAACCTCCAAAAAGATAAACCTTTCCTTTCCCAACTTTGGACTTCAGGTATTTTGTCTCAGCGACGAGTAAAAAGTAACTAAGACAGAAATTGGTACCGAGAGTGGGGTAATTGCTGTTATGTTGCCTGGCCGTGTGACTTGAGAGCCTTAAAAATTAATTTAAAAATATTTGAGAGACTGGCCAAAGAGACAGCCCCTGCGTGCTGTATTTTGGAGACTCTGGTCGGAACTGGTGCTGATGAAAATGCTGCCAGTTAAGATTAAGCTTGGGACACTTCTGTTGGGAAAGACTGCAGTGGCTGCTGGAGTCCAGGTAGTATAGTGTGCTTTAGATGAAAGCTGGTCTTCTTGTTTATATTTAGAGATATTACCTGGGTGGCAGAAGAATTTCAGTGCAGTCTCCTTTTGGGATGGTAGCATGGTTACTTTAGAGAACCTTTAACCAGATGTATTTGAAATTTAGAGCAAAGCGCCAGTAGAGTAATTTAAAACACTTGGCCAAGAAGAAGGCTCTATTAGAACTGTGGGTTGTAAAGATGAAACAGAGAACATGGTTGTTTAAAAGAATAGGATAATAGAAAAATCAAGAGTACATTTGAATTGCAGGAGATCCTTATATTTTAGTCTTGCCATGCCGTGTTAAAGTTAATGGGAAGCAAGGACTGTGATTGCAATTGTTCTTTTAGTGTGATTTTTATGTTTTTTATGTTTGTAACCCAGTTGATTTGTCAAAGTACTGTGTTTTAATGTTGAATCCTGGTCACCCTTTAAATGTTTTGTTTTTGACGCAGGAATTAAGTGTAAAAAAAATTGTGAATATATGTAATTCTTTTATTAATGTAACAAATCTGCCACTAAGGACTATAGTTTAAGGTAATGCATGTGGTTACTAAGTTGACCAGGGGTGGATTGTTATGGTTTGAAAACTGGTGGTCAACTTAACACCAGCTGGATTATATCAGTGTGCATTGAGAGAAGATGCTCCACCTGAGGAGGGTTGCCAGGATAAATAGGTGGAGAAGAAGGGAGGTGTTGAGAGGGATTGAAGCATTAAGGAGGCATTGTGGGTTCTCCTACGAGTTGCTGTCTGAGCTGTTGGTTCTCCTGGAGAAGCTTTGGTCCTCACATTGAGCATTGCTTCCTGGCTCCGGAAGGGAAGACATGTGGTGCTTGGTCTCCAGGATGAACTCATCACGCTGCTTCCTGGCACGTACCCGACTGTGCTTGTGGTTGGAGGAGCTCGGGGCCTCCGTGTTGCTGAGGACAGCTGTGGTGTCTTTCAGGCTAGCCCTGCTGTTTGTTGTGAGTGTGACTTCTCGGCTCCAGCATAGAACCCTCGTCCCCTTAGCACAGCTCCTTCATTCTGCTGGCATAGACTTTCTGGCTTCCACCGCTGATCCTTGGGTCTTTCTGGCACACATCTGTAAAAGAGACTAGTGTGAGTCCTTCTTGTGGGCTCTGGACCTCCAGTTGGACTCAAGGGAGGCATTGTCCTGAGTTCTGGATTTTTATCTGGACTCATGTGGGACATGTACTTTGGGGTTTAGACCCTTGATTAAATAATCTATGTCTTTGGTGTTGTGGATAAATTTCCTGCATTTTCCAGTGTTAACCATTATAAAAATATTATGTCCATTATAAAAATAATATAAACTCCATGTCCTGATCTGAATTGTTCTCTATGTACAACCCCTGACTACAACACCATGGTAGTCACCATTCTATTTTCTGTTTCCATTCATTTGCTTGTGTTAAATACTATTTAGAAATGAAATCATAAAGTTTTTACCCTTTTGTTACTGGCTTATTTCAGTGTAATGTGCTTCAGGTTCATCCATACTTTAGCATGACTCCCTTGTATTTTAAATTGCAATAATATTCCATAGAATGTAAATACCACATCATCCTTATCCATTTATTCATCAATAAATGTTCAATTATGACTTCGAGGCTTTTGGATTTTTCTTTTTTGGTACTTGGAATTAAACTCAGAACCTTACACTTGCAAAACAGGCATGGTGCCACTAAGCTACATCCCCATCCCTTAATTATTTTGGATATTGTTGCAGTTGATACATTGTGTCAACTTGAGAAGTTTCGAAATTTAACTAAGGCTCCTCAGGGAGCCAGAATTCTTACTTTTTAACCATACTAAGACTGTGCAATAGTAGGGCATGAAGATGGTGTGAGTGCTACATCTACCTAAGGGACATAGCCTGATTACAATATAAGGGCGGAAAGAAGGCTTGCTCTTTCCCACCTTTTGTTCTTGTTGCTTTGCAGTCTTCTGCCACTTTAAACTGTTGCCCCTCTGCCATGTACCACCCTGCCTTGGAGCCAGGTGATGATATACTGAAACCTCCACAAACTGTGAGCTAAATAAACCTTTCCTTCCTTAATATTTGGTGTCAGGTATTTTGTCCCATCAATGAGAGAAAAGTAACCAAGACAGATATATACCCAGAAGTGGGATTGCTGGATCAAATGGTGAAAGACATGGTTAATGAATCACAATTTTTAAAAAACTGAGGGGCCACAGTAGGATTTTAAGTTATTTTAGGTTTAGAAAAGCAAAAGTTTACTAAGGAATTGGCCTTATAAAAGAAACTGTCCTCTTAGGAAAGCTGTGCAAAACTGAATGAAGAGAGGCATTAAAAGCATAAAACTGAAAATGAGAAAACCCAAAATATGTAATCGCTATTGTAAAAAAGAAAGTGCTCTAAAGGATATAACTGCATTTTTGTTTAAGTGTATTGGATTGATTCTCATATTACTAAGTTTTTGTTGGATAGTTGAACAGAACTTTTTGCAGTCTCACTGTTTGAATGTCCACTTTGTATGCTTCACTTTTGTAACTTGAACTACTGTTTCTA